GTCGAAACAAATGTAATCTTTGGCACTTATTATGACCTAAATGTGTTGCAAGTGCCGTAAAACTCTTACTGGAATTCAAAACTGTTGTCTATGGATACTGCAAAATCTTAACTTTTAAAGCCTGCCTCCTAAATTAATCGCTTTTTTCAATTAAGACCTCACTCAGTATGGCTTGCAGTTGACCCATAGCCCCTGGCATCGGGAGTGTTGTAATTTAACGCTTCGCCGTCGGTCGCAGAAGATCCGAGTTCGATTCCTGTGTAGGGGACAATTATTGTCGAATGTCCAAACCTGGGACGTTGTATACCTCTCATCCAGGGTTGGACGTGATAGAGAGGGCCAAAGCCTGCCTCCTAAAAGGTCAAGATCGTGTTGATGGGGGTGTCAAAACATATTCATAAAAGAAGAACATCTCACTGTCTAGGGCTGCCTCTTCACTGCATCAGGCCCTTCTTATAACCAACCAATAAGCTTGACGACATTCGTGTCTCTTTCTGACCCCATCATGATTAGTGTGCAATACGTGAGAAATGTCTGACTCTTGCCTGGTGACCAAAAATAGTAAATTTAATATACAGCCAATTAATTAAACTTGGTCCGGTGTGAAACTGACCTTGAATCAGGGTAATGCGTTCCCGGGCGACCTCTCATAATATATAACCTTTGCTGTAACGTAAGGGGGTTTTAGTATAGGCCTACTCGTAGCGCGCTAAGGACCACAGAATCTTAACTCTTTGTATACGAACAACTATTCCATATGGTAAGCTGCTAAATATGTTCTTCATATTAATATATTTTTTTAAGAATTTTTTTTTATCATTACAAAGTTCCCATACTAACTCCTCTCTTTTTTACATAATGTCAAAACTTGCAAAAAATAAACAGCAAAAGAAGTAGAAATAAAATTGAATATTAATCTGTTGCGTAAACATATCTACAGTTTGAGACTGATAGATGAATTTTTAATACGACTTTCACCCTTTCCAACCCCTATTCCCTTATCTCGTTAAATTACATTCCCAATCCTCATACCACCAGTAACCCCCACCCCCACCCCCACCCCCATTTCCCACAGTTAGCAGTACCACACCTCAGTTAATACGTCGGTTACCACTGTGCCCACAGTGAGCCCTATAAATTGAAAGGTTTTGCTTTGCTAGAACAGCTCAAATCATTAGATTTGATAAACATTTTAACGGATAAGCTATATAAATTTTTTTATTTGTATGGTTTTTGTTAATTTGCTGGCGCCATGCGTTATCACGTTCCAATTGATTGTTTGCGACGTAACCCTAGCAGATGTTAATAGCAGGCAATGCTACGCAATAAAATTATGTAAGCATCTGGTCTGCTTTTTATTGATCGGCATCATTTCTGCTCTTTGAATGTCTTTTTTTAATCTTGGAAGGCAGGTGTTTGGATTTTCTTGGTTTGACCCAGCAAGTTCGAGTGGCTGAGGGAAGATTTAAAAAAAACAAAACAACAGTTTGATAAGAATAAGAGTCTGCAGAAGAGGGCAAAGTTTTGTAAACACCCTTGTGGTCGTCTCTACGAGATCAGCTCACTGAAACTTTCCTTGTTGAGTTGAGATGGTGACAGTTATTGGGCCGTCGGTGGAGAGGGCACAACGACGATTCCAATTCTTGAATTTAAAATTAAACAATTATGTAGCCAACGTTGAATTCTTTTTGTCTCAATATAAATATTATATACTAAGATTTATGCTTGAAACGCAGGAATGCACTTATATTCGAAGACGTGCATCATCACTCAGTTCTCGGGCACGATTTCTATGGTGAACGGAAACCATGTCCGATAAAAGGGTTCTAGGTTAATCGTTTATTGAGCATTTTATTTTTTTTTGTGATTGAGCAAAAATAATGGATTCGTTAGATTTTAATTCCAATATACATGGATTAAGAAACAACAGCATGAGTGCCAAATTAAGCTGCTATAAAGAAAATAAGAAGAAGAAAGATTCTACTGTTTTGATAGGAAAGTTTGTTTTTTTTTCGTAAGAGTTTTACTGGGGTCCATATGAACTGACAATCGGGGACAATCAGAGACAATAATCATTTGAGAGAGAGAGGGGGGGGAGAGGGGGAGAGAGAGGGGTGAAGAGAGACAGACAGAGAGAGAGAAAGAGAGAGAGAAATAGAGAGAGAGAGAGAGAGAGAGAGA